TACCTATTTCATGGACCTCGTCCTCATCGGCTTCATGGCAATAAACACAACAAACAATAACGATGTCTCAAACAAGTTCGAACTGCTCTCGACTCTTTATATATCAAGACGCCCCGGTACAATACAATATATGCTTGGAGACAAACAAACTTCTGCGGCGCGCGGGCGGTGGTGCGGTGCCCCTGCTTCGCCTCGTCGCAGAAAGTTTATCATCGTTAACACCGCTCATTTCAAGGACAAGAGAGGTTAGTGGTTGTCGAGGTGGTGGTGTAGTTCCTTAGGGGTGCGGGGCCCCTTCTTCGCTCGGCTACTACTTGTTGCGTGCCAAAGGGTTTCTCTATCGCGCAGCACCCCCGCGGCGTCGTCCTTAAGGGTTGGCTCCAGTTGGCGCCCCTGCCCCCCCACCCTTTGCCCCAAGCATTATAACAGCGGTTGTCGCTCAGCCAATAACTAATAGTCGTACTTTAATCGCGTCGAGCCTTGTTTATTATGCAGCATAGTCCACCAAAACATTGCTTTTTGGCGCGCAGCAGCGGCAGCCGGTATCAGGAATATATGAAAATTATTATTGAAATAAATAATAGCCCGTAAAAATACCCGCGCGTCGCCGTCCCCGTGGCGTGCTCGGTGATGACCTTCAGCGACACGCTCGACTTGACCCGCGGGCGCGTTGGCCGCGCCCGCTTGGCAAATTTATTTTTCCTGGTTTTTGGAGAGACGATTGAGAAGATGTTTTTTGGTATTTGCCTCCTCCTCCCCCCCAATGCCGCAGCCCCAGCGCGGACTGTGCTGGGCGCGCACCTCCCTCGCTCTCTCCATCTCCCTCTTCCTTTTCTCCCCTTCCTTGACTCGACTCTTTCGAACGGTAAACGAGTGCATCCGATCCGAACCTGCAGCTCTTCCACCTCCCGGGGAATCCCTGGAGCCTGCTGGAGCTTCGTTCGCATGCCCAAGTATAAACCAAGCGAGGTTCAATTAAAATCCCCCCCCCACACCCCCGATTCTCTCTCCCTCTCTCTGTCCCTTCCGCGACTCCGATTTGGTGAGAGCAGAGCACCGCCAGCATGGGCAGCCCAGCCCAATTACTTGAACCACCGTTCCGTGCTGCGGCAGGGAATTCCCCGTGTTGGGGACACACACACGCACACAACAAACGTAAAACGTCCAGGAATAGGAATTAATACTGCTTCCCGGAGAGTACAGGTGAATCAGAATCAGAACAAGCAGGACATATTTAGCTAGGCCATTATGTTTCGCAATACGTTGAAAAAAAGTAGAAAAACTTGTGCGAATGGAATGAGCATGCGATTTTGATCCCAGAGGTACAAGTTGAAAGTGATAATTTTGAACAGTGACTACAGGAGGATGACCTTAACACGTTCCTTGCGGCATGACCACTATGTGGTCACGCTTCCATGTTAAATCATAGGCACCAAGAAATGAGCCACAAGGAACGTGTTGAACAGCTTGGTTCAAATCGGCTGGGCCGGCTTGCCCGCCCCCACCCTTTCCCTCGCCATACATCTCGGGCAACTTTCTCCGTTGCCAAAAATAAAAATCTCGCGAGCGGTTTTTCCCCGCGGCATGACCCGCGTAATCAATGTGCGGAAAAATAGGTTCAATCAGAGCAAGTATAGCGCGAAAAAGGAGCAATTCCGGTCTGACTGGAGGAAGGTTATGGTGGCAAACGAGCCGGTTCAGAAAGTGAATCAGTGAAGAGAGAGGGCGAGAGAGCGAAAGAGCAAGAGAGAGTAGTTGCAGTGCACCCCCCCCCCCCCTCCTCGTCGCCGTCCCGCGCCCCGCGCCGCGCCCTGCCGTACGCTACACGGTGACGGTATAGTGACGAATTGGTGGTGCCCCCACGATGTACAAGGCGTACCCACTCCATCTGCCCCCCCCCCTCCCTCTTCAACCGCTTTGCCCGCCGTATCGCCTGGTTGCGCTGTGCTCGCGCGCGGGGAGGGTGGGGGGGACTTAAATGCTAGAGGGATTGCTTTTCATTATTCCGTTATCATACAGGTCGTTCGAGCAAACAGAGGCCATTAAGCGAGGCTTGCGGGTCGCGGACCCCCCTCGCGACCCCTCCTTATAACTCGGGGGATGCAGGCGCCGCCCGCCAACTAGTCACTATTACAAGTGGCCGGCCGGAAGCGGAGCCGCGCGCCAGCCTTGTCCACCCCCACCCCCCTCGCCATTAATCGCCCGAGGGGTGGGGCGGGGGTCGCCTCACGGGGAAGAACCAGGGCGGGGTGGTGCATTAGGCGCTTATTTGTAGGGCACTGCCACCACCATCGTCGCCGAGACATAATCAAAGTATTGTGTATATTCTTATATTGCTGTTATTATTAACATTAGCCACAACAAAAAAATAAATGATAACGAATGAATAAAAGTGTCGAGTGCACAAACAGATTTCTATTGGTGTTCATCAATAATTCTGACTGACGATTCTTATACTTGTCGTGCAATCTACCTTTAATTAAACAACTTTTCATTGTTGCTTCTCAGGAGTCGAAAACGATATGTCTCAATATCTCATGTAGGCCTAGCGCTGAATGGAGTACTTCATGCCAAGGGGAATTATAAGAGCAACGGCAAGTGATTATTTACATAAACTGAACGGCGCTGAGAGAGAAAAGGACGGGAAAATAATTCTCCCTGAACTACCTATTTCATGGACCTCGTCCTCATCGGCTTCATGGCAATAAACACAACAAACAATAACGATGTCTCAAACAAGTTCGAACTGCT